TAAATTCTATTTAAAATTTAAATTATACAAAAAAAAAGACAAAAAATTAATAAAAAATAATAATTTTATTAATCACTTAAAATGACATAAATTACAAATAAAAATTATAAAAATAAATTCTTTATTAATAATTAATAAATTATTTACAAATTATAAGTATAAATTTATTTTGGAATTCATCGCGTCACAATAGATAAGTACATCCCAACTAGGTTTTTTTTAAATTTCTTTTCTTTTCTTTTTTTGATAAAAAAATGCTAGAAATTAGTTTAACATTATTATATTTTATATAATTATGTATTAGTATATACTTACAAATTATTATGTAACTATATATTATATATACATATATTATATGTAAATATATTGTATATATTTATAAGTTATAGCTTGAGAGAGAGAGAATCGCATAAGTAGCCGTTGCCCGTTGGGCCAATGGGGAAGAAGTAAAAGAAAATTTGATTTGTATTTCTTTGATCTCGGTTACAACTTGATTACAAAAGAGAGGAGAACGAAATTGGTTCTTCCTCTTTGTTTAAAACTGGGTTCTTCACGGTGGCGATGGAGTGCCTCCCTCGAGTGCTTGCGTCGAGTTTGCTCTCCGTTGACGGATCCGATGTCTTGATTCACTGGAACGATGTCTTCTCCTCACGATTTGACGTTGTGGAGAACTTGCGTGGCAAGTTTAAAACTCTTGATGAGTTGATAACTCTGATCGAGTTTGAACTCTTGAAAAAGAGTTGATTTGAACCGAAAGTTCGGTTAATAGCCAAGGATCAAAGCTCTCTGTTACCGAACGTTGAAGATGATCTTCCTTGAAGGATGATGCCGATCTCCTCCGAAGTTCGCCCAACGATCTCCTCTGTTGCTGCCAATTCTTAGCTCCAAAAAGCCAGCCTTCAATGGTCGATTCAAGCCAAGAAAAATCCCACCCCGAACTCAGTTGAGCTTACTCGCTTTTATAGGGGATTAAGGGGGTGTAACCGCCCCCTTAATTCTCTCCATAGTAGGGCGGAAATCCCTCAAATCGTGGAGGGAAAACGGTTCCTGCAACCGTTCAGCTCGTGTTTGAACGAGTCAAACGCCCAACCTGGCGTTCAGGACCCTAACCTCGCGTCTTAGGATTGAGACGCGAGGTTGGGTATTAACTGAACATCCAGAACGCGAGGGTCGTTGAAAAACGTGGGTCCGACCCTAGCGTTTTAATGTTGTAACGCGGGTCCGACTCCAGCGTTTTGATGTTGTAACGCGGGTCCGACTCCAGCGTTTTTTTTATGTTGTAACGCGGGTTCGACTCCAGCGTTTTTGATGTTGTAACGTGGGTTCGACCCTCGCGTTTTGATGTTGTAACGCGGGTTCGACCCCAGCGTTTTGATGTTGTAACGCGGGTCCGACTCCAGCGTTTTTTTTTATGTTGTAACGTGGGTTCGACCCTCGCGTTTTGATGTTGTAACGCGGGTTCGACCCCAGCGTTTTGATGTTTGACATACGGGGAGGACCTCCGTGTCTTGTCTTGAAGAGATTATCACAAAGTAATCTCTTTTGTCATAGCGTTGCAAAGATCATTGTCTTTGTAATCTTCGTCTTTGCTCCTTGAGAATATGAGAGTCGTCAGATTGTAACCTTCAGCGATCTACGTGAAAGTCTTCAAATTGTAGTCTTCTGGAAGTCGTCAGATTGTAACTTTCATCATCGGTGTTTGATGGAGGATAAGCTATCTATTATGATTTTTAGACAGCCTACAGTATACTTATATATACTTATACATATATATACTTATATAAGAGAGAGTATACTTATATATACTTATATACTAAGAGAGAGTATATATACACACACATATGACATATTATATATATATATATATATATAACCGGGTTTTCAGGCTGAGGCCGGGCCCGGGTGGCGGGCTTTTTGGACACCCCTACTCTTAGGGGGTGTTTGGTTCAATTTCTAGAAATTATAGGAAATGTTTTCCACCTAAAATATGATTTCCTTGTATTTCTTAAAAAAATTATAGGAAAAGTTTTGAGAAATTAAAAAGTACCAATTTTTTTGTTTTTTGTACTTAGCTTGTTTGGTTCAAAATAAAAAAATAGCTCATAACTTTATAGAAAATAACAAGATCTGGTAGGTTTTTTATTAAATATGGTATGTGTCAGATTTCTGGTGATTTCCTCTCATTTTGAGAGGAAATTGCTTTTTGTAAAAATTGGTAGGTTTTGATATTTTATAGAAAATATTTCTGTAAATTTTTTGTTGAACCAAACACAATTTACAGAAATCTCTGAAAAACTTTTAATTACAAATTTGTCATTTACAGATGTTTTGAGAAAAGTTTTCTCAAAAAGTGTGCAACCAAACAGCCCCTTAGGGCGTGTTTGGATTTCATGAGGGGTAAGAGAAGTTAAAAGGGAAAAGTGGGGAGAAAAGAGGAGGGAAGTTAAAAGAAGTTTTATTTTTGTCCATTTCACCCTAATTTGGGGAGGAACAATTTTTATATTGTTAAGGGTGAACCAAGGACTTTTCCAACTACTCAAACAATGTGAATGCGTTTCCTAACCTTTCTTTTCTTTCTTATTCACCCCAATCCTAATACGGCCTCAGTATTCAGCCTATGAAAATGATAATGGGCTATTTGGGCTGGCTTTTGTATACAGGCCGTAGATAGGTGAAAAAGGTAAAAGGTCTAGCAGGATACTTAAAGCCTACGTCACGTCCTCCACAATTCCTAGCGAAAAAGCTTTTGACCCAAAAGTAATAGAGCTTTAGAATAATGAATTTATGGAAATGGAAACAATTGGATAAA